AGAGGAAATAACTTTGGAAGGCAGAGAGAGAGAGAGAGAAAACACACAAACAAACTTCTCATAAATTAACAAAAATAATCATAAACATACTTAAATTTTTAAAATTCATATAATCAGATAACATCCATAAATGATGGGTAAAATTTACTAAATAACCTGGGTGAATGAGGGGCTGTACCTGCACGCCAGAAAGCACAGACAGGACTGATGGCGACCATGTATTATTATTATATTTCCAAATGACATAACAGGTTGAAGACTTTATTATAATACCCAAGAATTTTCCGAGAATATGTCGTACATGGATAGTAAAATTACGAATATGAAATTAAACATAAAAATGACTCAAAAATACATTTACATATGATTAGCCTATTCATCACTATTTCTCGCGGAATCCCCGGCGATTGCTCGCGGCACCCTGGGGTTCCGGGGAACCCCGGTTGAGAAACGCTAGTCTAGAGGGAGCTAATCTCAATCTCTATTTGTAAAGTTTTAAATGTAAAGCCTCCCGTGCTTCGGACGTGTCCATCTCATACGACCAAAATCATTCCTTTGCGCAATATTATGAAAACTTGAGAATGGATAAAACTCTAGTCAGGCGTTCTTAGCGTTATGCTGGCGGCGAGTGTAAGCCTCAATTACCTGGCTAACTGCGTCAGGCTGGCTACAACTCAATAACGAAGCATTTTATTTGATAATTTCTGCTGTTTTTAATGTATGGAGTCCACTAAACCACGCACGTAAGATAGAAATCTTCTTGTTTTCGGCCCCTATGATATCTATGTCTTGAGATGATTATATTTGCAAGAAAAGATCACGGATGGCAAAAAATTTCCAAATTTGAAATTACAAGCAAGTGTAGAGAGCAAGAATACGAACGTTTTTTTTGAACACCATGAATTCCTCGTTTTGTATTTCACACTTACAAAGTCAAAGTCAACGCCTTCTATACGGGGTAGATAATTCCTTCAGAAACCCTTTTGAAAAGGTGTTATCCGATGGCAGACGTTTCAAGTGACAAAGATCGGGCTCCAAGAGCAGGCAGAAGAATGTACGTATTGCTGTTTTGTTATGTACCGATGCCTATACGCCCACAGAAGGGAAAAATGTTGATTACCATCTTCACATATCATTCGACACTACTTAACCTCTGAAACTAAAACCAACTCCACGGAGCTGAGTCCAAATTGAGAAGCTGATAGTAGCTCAGATAGTCAAGAAATTTTTCGTATTTTATAAAAACCGACCCGTCCACAAACACAACCACTTTTGGATCCATTTTATGGGTCCTCTACTTTTCAACTTGTTTATTGATGACATATGCCAAGTAATTAATCATTCTAAATGCCTTCTTTTCGCTGATGATATCAAAATTTTTCGTGCCATTAAATCTCCCAACGACTGCAATGATCTTCAAACTGACATTGACTCGGTACATGGTTGGTGCACTGCTAACTTCATGAAACTCAATATTAGTAAAACTACAGTAATTTCCTTCTCCAGGAAAACCACTATTTTGATCTTTGATTACAAACTTTTTCAGTCCTCCATAACATGTACCTACACCATTAAAGATCTGGGAATATTTATCGACAGCAATGTTGACCACATATTTTCACATTGTATTAAGTTGCTGGGTCTTGTTCGCACATTAACCTTCTCGTTCTCTTCTCTCGATTGCCTGTACATGCCGTATTTTACCTTAGTTAGATCCAAGCTCGAGTACGCCTCGGTCGCTTGGAATTCTATTACGACTACTGATGCCAACAAACTGGAACGTATTCAGCAGAAGTTTGCAGCCCTTTGCTACCATCGCTATGCTGATGCTTTAGAGTATTTAAAACTCCAGACCCTGCGTAAGAGAAGGCATTGCAGTGATGCACTGTTCCTTGCACAGGTTTACCGCGGTCTTAAACACTGTCCTTCCCCTCTGGAAGCTGTCGGTCTCCGCATCCCTGCTCGGAATCTGAGAGATTTTTCTATGTTCAGTGTTAGCCCTTTGATCAAAAACAGTCCTTCTGCTAGATGCGCATCAGCTGCTAATGTTGTCTGCAGGGATTTGGACATATTCGAGACGAAAATTGTCACACTTCTTCACATTCTATAATAGTATAATTTACTTAATTGATTTAAATTATTTTTACAATTATCCTAATATATTTAGTTGCAATTTTCTTGTGTATTTATGTCCTCAGTAACAATGTGTACTATATACTGCTTGTTTTATCTTTTATGCTTTTATTGTGTTCATGAGCTCATCTCTGTGCTGTATCTGTAATTGGCCATCTGGCTGTTGATACAGCACACAAATAATAAAGAATTAAATTGAATATCACGTCTCTTTTCCACAGTTTCCCTGAAGGTGAAATAGCATTATTAAAAATATTAACAGATACCAACTATCCAATGAACAGAATATGAAGAAGAATTGGGAGAATAATTGTTACCGTATACGTAGTTCAAAATCTTTCATCTTCACATTTACCAACTATAAGCATGAGTATATAACATAATGACTATAATTTCATCTTGTTTTTGTATAGATCTGATTCTTGGTCTTACAAATGAGGAAGAACACAGATTTAGGGCATTTGAGTACATGGTGGTAAACAGGCTGGATAAAATTACATAGGCCTAATGAGGATTTTTATAATTAATATTATTTAACAAATATTAATGGAACAATCAAATTAATGGTATCAAGATTGGCGGATAAGGTAGCGCGGAGAATCACGATACGAAATACACACAAAATTTTAGTTCTCAACCCTGAATGTCAGAGAGTGTTTACTGGATTAAAATGGCACAGGAGTCAGCTACCTAGGTAGCAGGGATAATTAGTAACTATAAGAGGTGTTTAATAGTTGTGAGTAATTTAAGGGTTACAAAGGATTAGATTTATTTATTCAGAACTACATTACCCGGCTGCTTCTCTCTCTCTCTGTCTGTTGAATCATTAGTCTGCCTCCTTAATAAATTATGAATATCAATATTTAATATATTTTATTAAAATATATTAAATATTGATACCTGTACAGCAGAATTATAAGTAATTTCAATTCTTTTTAGAATTATAGCACTATTCCGTATGAATTCCTGAAAGGTAGGACGCTAAAAAACGTCCCCTTTAATATTGAAACAATATCAGTCTGTAAGGCTGCCGTTCTGCCTTTGTGACTTCAAATGTTTCACCCAGTTCATCTGCGATTCTGACCATAAATACTTCGAATATTTATGTAACAGTTGCCTTTCCTGATCCAATACAGTTCTCTCAGTAAATAAACTTTAATGTTTCTTAATTTATCTGACGACTGTTTATCAACTACTTAATTTATGTATCATCGATTTTTAGTGACTGCAAAGTTGTATAACTTAGAGTTATCTTACTTCAATTAATATTCACTATAGTACCAATTACTTAAAATTATGTGGAATTGGTCAAAACAACTCCAAAATTACAACTGTACAGGGCAAAATATTTTAAATTGCAGTTAGTATTTCATTTCTGTAATTATTGGGTATAAACTATTCTCCTGGCAGTAATTCTTCTTCATATTTTGACCAAACGAAAGACCATTTAATATTCAGTCAATAATTGTACGTACCCTAAAATGACAGATTTTTGAGTTATTATGTTCTGATCAAACATTGCATAATTAATTATTATGATAAAGGTTGACGTAATTCATAGTGCAGAACAGTTTTTATTCTCTGTTTGGCGATATCTTTCTTTCTTCCACCACGTGCTATGGACCAGTAGGTGGAAGACCGCTGTCATTGTAGCAACTAGAATTATTATTCAACTCATACAACGGTCTTTAAATTAAAATGTATTAAATTTAATACTTTGGGCCCCGAAATGCGTCCAGATATTTAAAAATCATTTCTCTCCTCAAAGAAAATACGATTTTCCATTACAAAGATAAATTGGTTAATGCTCTTTAGGGATAAAATCGCTGTTTACACTGAGAATTATTCTAAACTAATTAATAAACCTTTGTGGGAAAAAATGTTGAGTTAGAAAATGTTAAACCTTACTGTGCGTACAAGTGCCACGTTATTTAGAAGTTTTAAAAATAAGTTGTTTTAAACACAATATTTACAGTACAGTCACTGTTACAGTAAATAATAACTAATTATTAATTTTCCAGATTTATTAAATATTTCCACTGCATTTCCTTCTCTGTTTCCGTTACTTCTTATCATTATTTAACGTAGGATAGTTTAAATTGTAAGCCTTCAGTTACTCTTTGATGTTTCGTTTAAGAGCTCATCCAATTCGCAGTGTCCAGTTAGACTCATCCCCTGGAGATTAGGGATAATGACCGCTCACTGCTATAGATACTCACCCTACAGATCTACCCCTTTTTTATATTAGCCATACAGGAAGACAATAATTTACCTCATACGATTTACTTATAGATCCTCGTTCTATGTAATAATGTACTGTGTGAACCTCTGGTTATGAATTACACGCAACACGCACATGTTATACAATACACCCTTTTGTTCAGTAATCTTCACTCCAACTCCTTCACTTTGTTTTCCTCAGGTTCCTAGACGACCATAACTGTTTTTGCAGCACAAAAATCTATTTATGTCCATCTCTGTTTTGTTGCTTGGCAACTGTTTATTGTATCAAGCAATCACTGTGCAGAGGGGTTCTCAAACTCTTCCACATTTATTCTCCCTTATCGATTAGCGGGCAGGTCAGTCGACCGGTTGAACCAGAAACTCATCTGGAATGTTATCATTAAATTATGTGTTGTGTTAGTTTCTATGTGTGTCTAAATTATAGTTTCTGGGAACAACAACAACAAATAGGAATGAGGTCCATGATGAAATTTAGAGTAGAATACATTTGGGAAATGCTTGTTTTTATTAAATTAAAATAACCTATTATCATCTCGTTTGCTTTCCAAAACACTGAAGATCAGGAGATGTAAAACAATAATTTTGCCTGTAGTTTTATATGGCTGTGAAACATGGTCTCTTACCTTGAAGGAAGAACGTAGATTACAGGTGTTTGAAACAAGGTGCTCACGAAGATATTTGGACCTAGAATGGATGAAATAAGTGGGGAAATCAGAATATTGCATATCGTGTAGTTGGGTAAATTGTACGAGTCACCTAGCATAATGAGAATAATTAAATCTAGGAGGCTCTGATCGGCTAGACATGTAGCACGCATGGGCGACAAGGGTTGCATACAGAGTTCTGGTGGGAAACACTTCTGGAAAAAGACCACTGGAGGGACCAAGAATGAGATGGGAGGATAATATAAAGATGGATCTTAGGTAGGTGGACTGTGAGGATGGTAAATGGATGCAGATGGCTCAGGTGGAGGGATTTGGTGTTGTCGGTGTTGGACCTGTGGGTTCTGCTACCAGGGAATTAGTGACTTTAATTTATTAAAGTAATTTTGTACTAGGCCTATTATTATTCAAAGTATGTATATTTCTGACGTATAATATTATGAAAAGTACTTTTACTCGTGTTTATTTTAAGTGTGGTGAACAATAATATATTTCAGAATTTTCTATTCTCGAATCCAGAACAATGCGTATTTTGCATGTAGTAACAGTGTTTGTTTATAGAGAAAATTGGTTAAATTCTTTTCGAGAGAAATCTTCATCATTGGCCCAAACCTGTTTGGTCACCCTTGCCTGCGGAACGTGTGAGACTGTTCGTTGTCGGTCCATCGAGGCTCTTGTTGGTTACAGACAAATTATGGTAATGACGTCATGTCGTGTTAGTAACATACACGTCACTCCATCGATCACTGGTCACTTGGTAGGTGCGATAAATACAACAATGGCGGAACTACACGCGTTGCTACGCCTTCCCTCGAGACTGCTACGCATGCCTACTGAGCCCATGGGACATTTCCTTCCCTCTGTAGCGTTTGAAGTCCAAACAGTAGCGCTCGTATTGGCCCCCAGAGTCCACGGACATTTTCGTCTCTATAAATTTCACGAATCACCCTATATGCTATGAGTAATATTGTTTCTATTTGCTGCGGAACTCTGATGTCATAAACAGATCAGTGATTTCCCAGACGTATCTGTGATCAAATCCAAAGAACTGAAGATCACAATTCAGTACTGACATACGTTATTCTCATTAGAATTGTGCCAAAAATATATAGTGAGTTGAACTTCTTAATTAAATGTATTCTTTGAAAAGGATCGTCTTCTTTGTTCGCTCCATGTAATCCGATAGAAGTTTACTAGGATTTCAGAGGTCCCTGCTGCCTCCATCGTCAGGCCGATCATTGGTAAACTTCTACCAGCCTAGACGGCATAACAACCCAGAACACGCCACTGTGAGAAACTGGAATATTACAAAATTCTTCTAAAATTTCTTCAGTTTCTCCACAATATTTTTGGACTAATACGGAAAAAATAATCGGTGACCACTTCGTCAAGAATCACTTAACGTTGTTGTGAAATGAACAGAACTCTTGTTCCTTACCCGCGGTTGATTCTCGGCCAGAAATACCTCTGTAGTGACTGAGGCAAATCAAGTTTAATTCTGTTAATCCCTGAAAATGTACGTATTTTATCTTAAATTTAGTTTCTGTTGTTTCATTCCACATCCTTTGCAATTCTCAGACCATAATCAGTATTCCATTCGATTCTATATAGATTTTTCAGATGACAAAGAGTAATCAAATAAACAAAGAAATAAATATACAACAAAATCTTTCTTAATTTCTTGGTATGGACAACATTCTCGACAGGATACTTCGGCGTGGACAGAAGGTAAACTGATGATTCCCATGTAACGTTATTCGTTACAAATTACATACAATCCATTATGAAGAAAATTTGGCACGAGACTATAAGACTCTATAAGGATCTAGGCCTTGTTCATATGATCGAAATAATCAGTAGTCGATGAGTTGAAAGACAATAAAATTATACTCTAGTTTATCTTAAACAACAAGCTTAATAAAGTTTTATTAAGACAGCAGAAGAAGATTCAATGACAAACTGTATCTTACTTAAGTGTATTCCAAATTAACATTACGTTTGGACCTGTCTCTACGGATCTCGATATGAAGGAAAACTTAATTAATAAAATTGAGAATAATCAAATATTGATGTTTGTTTACTACCTGATATTCTAGTTCGAATTCTGGCCTGTAGAGAGGCGTAAATTAATTAGTCGACGGAATAAACGTTCCACAGAACACAGCGCAAAATATAGTTATAGTTATATCAGCAAGCAAGTCACAATACATTCTGAAAACATAGTTGATTGACCTTCGTTGCATAATTGTACAAATTCTGGGTGACGTCACTACAAATATTGCGTTAAAATTAATATCTTTTACAAGTTCAGAAACCTGAAAACGTGTATGAATTTTATGAAATATGCAATTTGATTTATTACCTCTGTTGATTGTTGACATAAATTTCTTCTGATATCAACGCGCATTTAAGCTTTTGTAATATTAATTAATTAATTAATCGCGTGTCTCTTCTAAATGCGTAGCCAATCGCCTTGAAACAAAATATTCATTATCCGTTCAAATATTTACAAAAGTTTAATCACTTTAACTCACTCAATGGAGCAGAGTCCTTGAGAAGGTAACAGTATGCTTACCTAATAAATAAATTACCTACTTTTCATGGAACCCGACGGTTCATGACCGTGTTCACAAAAGCCTTACGCCGGTCCCTATCCTAAGCCCGGCAAATCCAATCCACACCCCAATCCTACTTCCCTAAGATCCATTTTATTCCCCTAAGTTTGTCATTGGTCCATTGTCACCACGGCTTGGGGTGTACTCAGGTTGCGGACCGAGGAAAAGAATTCCAGAACAGCTGCAAATATGTTGAATAAGTACTCGCGAACAGCCAAGAGTGGATTGTTCTCCATCTTGGGAGTTGGATGGGGGGCTAACAACTCCCAGCTGATGAAGCCAGCATGTTACAAAGCATGACTGGGGTCACACTTCAAATTAAAATCCAAAGAAGGCCTATGAAGCCAAGAAGTAGAGACTTTCCGAGAACTGAACAACAAGAAATATTTTGTGTTTTATTAAAAACGAAAATTCGTTACAGTCTTAGTAATCGCCTTGTATTAAGCCAATTGAATCCAGTACAAACTTACACTTATACGTCCTTTTCTCTAAGACCCAGTTTAATATTATCCTCAAACATAAACCTATGCATCCAGTGGGGTTTGTTCCTTTCAGAATTTCGAATGAAAATTTAAAATAAAATTTCTATTTACCCCATGCGGACTATTTGTCTCGCCCATCTAATCATCCTTTTTCAAATCTCCTTTATTACGCGTACACATATATATAAAGTCGTACATAAGTCGAGAAAATAACGTTTCCCTAATTGCAATAATACCAAGTACAAAATACGAGAACATGTAATCTACAGATGGCCAAGAACTGGACACTACAAAAGAATTGTACAGCAAAGTCATCTTTCATAATGCTGAATGCAGCTGCTGAACATCCTTGAACAGGCCTCACTGTCTATCGATCACAAATATAACTGAACCCAGTAGTAAAGTGGATCAGACAATACACGTCTAGGGAACGCACACACCAGAACTGAGGTCGAGCAACATGGCCCCTTTGTTACGGCTTTACAACTCTCAAAACATCACAGTATTCACAAACGGCCTTCATGGACCGAAGACACATATGGAAGTGACATTTAATGTGTGTTTATTTCGATTTGAATCCTCAAATATATTTTATTCATAAATGAATATCCTGCCGAATCCGGATAAATTTACCCTTCAACTATTATTTGATAACGAAACAATACAAAAACACATACTATCAGCGCGCCATGAGAAGTCCGCTTGGTGTGAAGCAGACACGAATTGCTACTACGCTTCGCTCTTCCACAAAGCATGCCTCCTCCCTGCACTGTAGCTTAATTTTATCTTTCTTTAGTTCTTGTCCTTTCCCACACCATGTTACTCTAAAGCCTATACCTCAGACTCGCCCGTAAATGGCTCTTTCTGTGCCGAAGCTGCATACATACGCCTAAAAATTCCGTACAGCACATGGAAAACGCTTCAAAATTGTCGCCTCGGGGTATAGACATGTTGTAGCAAACATAATTAATCATCGAAAAACATAACTAATGATGTCATTGCACATATGAACACTCTCCTCATCCCAGCATTTCATAGAGACCACCCACTGGCTTCCAGGCGTGCCGGAAAGTGAAAATCTGGGTTCGCAGGCCGCTCTGTTTGCTCTAGCTGAATGAAAAACGAGAACAGTGATGCGTCATAACGTTCCCAGCCATAGCCCACAAACAGCCGTAGCTACAACATGGGCAGAAGACCAATTTCCTTCTGCCGAGACCACGCTAATTTTACACTGCCTGCCCACCGGTATGTATAAGTTTAATTACGTAACTTTCTCTCGCTTTATCATTCCTTCCTCTACAACTTCGCTTCTTGTCTTGTTTTATTCTCTTCTACTTTCTCCCCTCCTTTCTTGTTTTGTTCATCCTCACCTGTATCCAAAACTTTCCTAACTTTTCCTTCGATATAATTTCATATCATTTCACGGAAAACCGTAATTCATCAGTCTGAGAAGGCGCTGAGAAAAAAGTATCAAATTTCGGATTCTCATGGAGATGCTGTTGGACTTCTCGTGTGGGACGCCGTCTAGTGTTGAAAGTGGTTACTAACATAACGAAGGAACATATTGCTTCCAGCTTCGCCCACAGTATCCGGGAAAAAGCCGAGCGTTTTGCCTTCGTAACTAACGTGTCGATGGGAAAAGAATTTAAATATTAGTAAAAGTAAAGCTTTCACACTAAACGCCATGTAGGCGCTTGGGGGAAGCGGAGATATAACTCCTACTCATTCTTTACCTCGGCACTAGATGGGGGTGAGTGGTCAGCATCACGCTCCGGCCGGCTTTACCTCCGGTAAAGGACCCCGGTACCCATTGTAGAGGAGGCTGGGTGGGCCCCAGAGCCGGTCTGGACGCTGAGGCTAGAGGAAAAATGCTATGCCCCCGTTGGGGCTGGAACCCCGGTCGT